GATAATCGGCTTCGTATATTTGTTAACAAAATAAAAATAAAATGAACATTTTAATTCTTATTAATTGACGTACGTAGATGGGGTGGAAGAATTGGAGAAATTAATGCAGCAAATTTAAAACAAGCATATTTAACAATTCAACCTTGGTTAGCACCTTTCACTGAATTAACAGAGGACGAATATAATCGTACAATAAAACAAATTGTTGATAAAGAGTTGGACGAATATCATTCATACACAAATCATCATATTATTTTGGTAAAGAAAACTATTTCGGGTCATTGGTTCTCTTGATCACATGAGAAACAATTTGGCTTGTCAAATCATAAACATTTACACATTATCTGTTATATAAATCTTTTTTCACGTTTGAACTTTAAAATTTTATCAGTAAACTTTATCAAGGATATAATTTAAAAATCCTCGATATAAACAAGGTTTACCTTTTTAAATATCAACAAAATCTTCTGACGATAAGGGTAAGGGTACCCGCAACGTTTATTTATTTTATACTATTCTAGATTATTGTACATTAGTATAAAATAAAAAAAGTTTTTTTTTATAAATTTATCATGAAATTTTTTATAAATTAATTTGCATCTTATAAAGTTCCTGAGCAAGAAGAAGTATGCATTGATAAACAATCCTTCCCACAAAAAGCAACTTCTTGACATCTCGGACACATCTCTAATGTCTTAATATCTTTTAAATTTGTTGGTGCATATTTACATTGTGCACAATCTGTGAAATTTGGTAATTGAGAATCTAACCAATGAATATGTTCTCGAGCTTTTATAACTAATAGATCTGCACTTTCATGCCCACATTCCCCTATTGCTTCAACTTCTCGAAATGACATTCTAGACTCATAAATTTCTCCTGCCATCATGAAAGTTATAGCAAAACAAAAATTTACATGTATACGTATCGCTCTTTGTAATTGAACATCATTATGATCAAGAATTCTAATGAAAAAGGGATTCCGTAATCTATCATCTATACTTCTCATGATTTTTACACCGCACTCTATAATATCTGTATCTGCTTCGTTATGATGGTTCAATTCCCGACGATATAGATCTGTTAATCCAATAACGACGTCGAGAACAAGGGATAAGTCCCAAGAATAATAAGATGTGCATGGTATCATCATGATAAGTTTTAAAGCTAGAAAATAATATGCGGCCGATGTTGCAAAGTCTTGAGCTATGGTAGCGTTAAGACCTTGACTGTATATTGAACCCAATTTCGCAGCGGCTAGAGCAGAACCCAATTGAGTAGCTC